AGAATGATGAGGGCAATGAATGTGCAAATGCGCTTTACACAATTGATGTGTGTGTGGATTGTGATAAGAGTTGTATGAGTCCCCAATAAAATGATTTTTTAAAAATAAATAATAAAATAAATAAATAACAAAGATTAAAAAATAAAAATAAAAAGGCATAAAACTGTTGCATCTGCAGAACCTATAAACAATAAAAATGCTTGGTGGAGTAAAAAAAAAAATTCCCTTGTCTTTATCGTACCCTTGTCCTATTTAAGAATGTAGCAAGTGCTCTCTGTTTTTAAAGATTTGCGTACAAGGCAAGGAAATAAGCTTGTGATCCGTCATCTAAAGTGCAGTCTTTGGTCTCTTCCTGTCCAGAGGAAAGAAGAGTGATTAAAACCAAAAGACATGGAAGCAATTAGTCAAATGGACTAACAGGCCATGCAAACATCAGCCTGCACAACCCTGAGAACAGAACTAGATGGTGAGTGGCTACCCCTCCCTCTGCTCTGAAAAGTCCTGGATCGAGTGGGAGCAAAAGGGGAATAAGACTCAGAATCAAAAGAGACCAGGCTTACTGAGAAATGGGGTGGGGGGCCGAAATCTATGACCCTTAGTCGCCCCTCGGCTCTGGAACTGAACTCCCTCCTGTGGTAAAATAATCAACCATTTAAGATGGAAAGGGCGAATTTGCCCAATGACAAAGTTCGGCGGGTTAAGAAAGAAGGAGCAATAGGAACGGGCAGCAGGCAGCCCAGGGGAGATACAGGATGGTTCATTGCGGGCATTGCAACGCATGAGTTGAAACAAAACATGTATGAACTCTTAAACATAAAACTAGTGATCCGCACTATAAATTTTCTCCTAATTCAATGTAAGACGTTTTTGTTTTGTTTTTGTAAGTGGGAAAAAATGTTTTCCAGGTTCTTGATCGTATTGGTGGAGATCTTTTCCTTCTGTGAGAGCAACATTTCAGATGAGGGTTGGGTGGAGAGAAGAGGACCCACTAGGTAGATACCCTGTACCCAATCCCTGTGACACCAGGAGCACCCACCACAGGGCCGGGCTGCCACAGACAGGAGGGCCCCTTCCTGCCACTGTCCTCGCACCACCCACCCCTGTCCACTTCCTTAGCTCCATCTTCTTGGATCTTCACTGAAGTTCTGTGAGCAAGAACACCCGGATACTTATTGTGCTTAATGGCACATTCCTCATCCGGTCTCCTGCCCACTTCTGCTGGAGAGGAAGGGAGGGGAGTCGGGTTCTAGGTCAGTGCATGTGTGGATGGCTAGGGTCTCCTTACCTTCCCAGGGAGCCTGCTTTTCCCTCCCCATCCTGATGCCACACCCCTGGCCCTGCACCCCACCTTTGTCAGCTCTTCTCCCACCCCTGCTGCGAACCCAGCAAGGGATCAAACCCCCATGGGCACACTCCGGAAGGGACTGGGAGGACTAGCCAGGGGATCCCCTTCCACCCAGGACTCACCGGCCAGGGTCACCCAGAACCAGCTGTGCAGCTGCATCAGGAACAAGAGGCCAGGAAGGGACGTGGGGCCTGGAGCTGGCGCCATGGGACCTGCGGCACAGAGTGCAATCCCAGCTCTGCTTCAGTGAATGAATCTCCGGTGTCCCCTAAGAAGGAGAGTGTCACTTGATTCCATTTTTCCTTTCTTCTTAAATGATTCTTTTTATTGTGAATCAGGTAGGGTTCGTCACTTTTGGATCCACTATTTTACATCTCCCAGATCAAGTGGGTTATCTCGTCGGGGTCATGGAGTGGGATGGTGGCCTGGGAACGTGGAAAGCAGAGAAAGATGGTCGGGCAGGAAACAAGAAGACCTCCCCCAACAAAGGGGGTGACTGAGGGCCCAGACAAAAAGAAGGGTGCTGGCCCTTGTGGGATTCCTATTCCTAGTTGTTTGAGGTGGCACCATATCCCTTTTCAAAGTGGCTGTGCATATTTACAGTCTCATGAGCAGTGAATGTTCCAATCTCTCCACAGCCTTTCCACAATTTATTGTTCTCTCTCTCTCTCTCTCTCTCTCTCTCTCTCTCTCTCTCTCAACATGGCTGTCAATGCCATTGTCTTGATGTGTATCTCTCAAATGGCTAGTGCCTGAGCACATCTTCATAAGTTTGCTGGCCATTTGGATGATGTCATCATTGGTGAACTGTCCGTCCATGTCCTTTGCCCACTTTTAAATTCATCTTTTTCTTAACGAGGTGTTGCAGTTTTCTAGAGATTCTAGAGATTAATCCCTTGCTTGACATGTTCTTCTCAAAAAAGTTTCCCACTCTGCAGGTTCCCTTTTATAATGGGAAGTAAGAGTCATAACGGAGACATATGCACACCCATGTTCATCTCAGCACTGTTCACAATAGCAAGAAGATGGAAACAGTCTAAATGCCCATCAGTAGAAGAATTGATAAAGAAACTCTGGTCCATGATCATGGAGTACTATGCATTGCTTTAAAAAAAAAGGTGATGCCATTACCAGTAAGCACCTGGTGACATGGATTGACTTAGAGAACATCATACTGAGCGAAATTGGTATTGCTAGGTGTCATCAAGGAAAGCATAGACAAAACTCTAGAAAATTTCAGGAAGACATTGCATGAACAAATTGAAAGAAATATTAGAAGTCATACAAATAAAAAATCTACACTAGCATATAAAAATCTACACTAGTACAGATAGGAACTGGAAACACAGGGAATCCAGGGCGGATGATCCCTTCAGGACCAGTGATATGAGTGGCGATACTGGGAGGGTAGAGGGAGAATGGGTTGGAAAGAGGGAACCAATTAAAAGGATCTATATGTGACCTCCTCCCTGGGGGACAGACAACAGAAAAGTGGGTGAAGGGAGATGTTGGACAGGGCAAGATATGACAAATTAATCATTTATAAATTGTCAAGGGCTCATGAGGGAGTGGGGAGCAGGGAGGGAGGGGGAAAAAATGAGGACCTGATGCTGGGGGCTTAAGTGGAGAGCAAATGTTTTGAGAGCGACGAGGGCAATGAATGTACAAATGTGCTTTACACAATTGATGTATGTATGGATTGTGATAAGAGTCGTATGAGCTCCTAATAAAATGATTTTTTTAAAAAGAAATCAAATGAGGGGGAAGGACGGGGGGAATGAGGAGTTGATAACAAGGGCTTAAATAGAAACTAAATGTTTATAAAATAGTGATGGCAACATATGTATGGGTTGTTATACAAGAGCTGTAAGAGCCCCCAATAAATTGATTGTTTAAAAAAAAAATACAGTTAGGGATCAGGCAACATTTTTTCCTGTTATTCATACAGGCATCACAAATTGATGTCAACTCCACATCAACTAATAATAGCAGCATATTTGCATATTACCATCAATGAGACAGACGGTAGTAGCTAGTAAAAGTAGAGAACATCAATTTCTAAGGATTAGTCATATTAACTCAGATTTAATATGATTTTAAGATGGAAACTAGATTATTTTTTACATCAGAAACATGATTTGAAAAAAAAATTTAAAAACCAACAGGCAAAAAAAGGAGAAACAGATGAATTTCACCAATAAATGAAACCTTTGTTTTCTTCCAAAATGTAAAAACATCTAGAATATTAATATTAGGATTTCAGAAATGGAATTTTTGTTGTTGTTGTTGTTAGCTGCCTTCAAGTTGGTTCCGACTCATAACGACCCATGTACAACAGGACCAAACACTGCCCGGTCCTGTGCCATCCTCACAGTTGTTACTGATGCAGTCTCTGGGTCCATCCATCTCATTGAGAGAGAGCCTTCCCCTTCTTCATTGCTCCACTACCGAGCCTGACGTCCTTCTCCAGGGACTGGTCTCTCCTGACAGCACGTCCCGACAAGCACATGAGAGGGAGTCTCACCATCCGAGCCGCTCAGGAGTATTCTGGCTGTATTTCCACTAAGACATATTTGGTTGTTCTTTTGGCAGCTGAGATAGTTAAAATTTATTGTGCCAACCTGGCTGATAAACACATGTGGGGTTAATTGAAGGGCGGAGGGATAAATGGCTCAGTGAGCCTCGCCTTTCTAGTTCTTGGGTTTCTTGCTTTCTGATGGTTGGACCAGGGTGCAACTTCCTTAGCTAGTTCTTGCTTCAGCTGGCAAGGTTCACTTCCTGCAAGACATCCCTGAGGAGAAGCCACATGGAACTACCCCGATGCTGAGTGCTGGAGTAACAATGTGAAGAGCCCTACCAGCGCTGAGATGCTTACACACTCACTGATTCGGCTTTCCTCCTGCAGTCGGCATCATTGCGTGTGTTTTGTGAGATGAAGGAGGACGTTGTGGATTGGTGTAAGACATGTGGACTAATGTTGGACTTGTGGGCTTGGGGGGCTTGGGCAGCACTGGGTTGGGATGTTTTCTTGATGTGCACTTACACTTTATATAAAACTCTCTCTTATGCATATGAGTTTCTGTGGATTTGTTTCTCTAATGTACCCAGACTAACACAGTAGCCCATGGTACTTTCAATATGCTTAGTCAACACCTAATTCAACTGTTTTGATTCTTCTTCAATATTCCTTATTCAATGTCCAACTTTCACATACACATAAGGCAATGAACAATGTCATGGTTTGGGTTAGGCACACCTTAGTCCTCAAAGTATGATCCTTGCTTTTCAATATTCTAAAGAGGTTCTTGGACATCAGATTTACTCAATGCAATGCACCTTTTGACCTCTTGACCACTGTTTCCATGAGCACTAACTGTGGATACAAGCAAGACAAAAGTTTGGACAACTTCAATCTTTTCTCCATTTATCATTTGTCCAGTGTAAGAATTTTGGCCTTTACATTGAGTTGTAATCCATATGGAAATAAGATCAATGCTTGATCTTCATCTGCAAGTGCATCAATTTCTCCTCATTTTCAGCAAGCAAGGTTGTGCCATCTGCATCTCTCAGGTTGTTTATAAGCCTTCCTCCCATCCTGATGCCACATTCTGGTTCATGGAAGCCAACTTCTCCGATTATTTGCTCAGCATATCGATTTAATAAGTATGGCAAGAGGAAAACAACCCTGATGCACACCTTTCCTGGCTCTAAGTCATGTAGTATGCCCTTGTTCTGTTTGCACAACTGCCTTTTGATCCATGAGGACAATATAATATTCTGGGATCCCCATTCTTCTCAAGGCTATGCATAGTTTATGATCCACACAGTCGAATGCCTGAGCATAGCCCATAAAACACAAGAAAACATTTTTCTGATGTTCTCTGTTTTCAGTCAAGGTCCAGCTGACGTCAGCAATGATCTCCCTTGTTCCACGTCCTCTTCTGAATCTGACCTGTCCCTCTGGCAGCTCCCTATCAATGCACTTCTGCAAATGTTGTTGCATTGAAATCAATCAACCACAAAAGGACAAATAACCTATGAGACTACTGTCAGAAAGAAAAATACGTATTCAAAACCAAGATGAAGCCTTTCAAGCCAAAGAGAGCAGACTTTGGAAATGCCTAGGAGAGGAGGGCAATGCACCAGGCTAGACAGCTGACAGGTGAAACAGAAGATCATCTAGGAGGGAAAAGAGAATCAAGAAGAAGGGAAAGGGGAAACTATTGGGGGGGGGGGGCATTGATTAGTAGTTTAAACTATTGAATACAAAGTTGATCTAAATGTAAGCCCTCACATAATTTACAATAAAAGTTACCCCCAAAATGATTCTGACTCGTGATGACCCCAAATATTGCAGACTCTTAACTAGTCCATAGAATTTTATTGGCTGGAATCTTACAGGCCTTTACTTACTTTGTGCCAAGAGTGGGGTTCAAACCACCAACCTTTTGGTAACAAGCCAATCAGAAACTATCTGTGCCACAGTGAGTACATTCTTCTAGAGCAGTGTTTCTGAACCTGTGGGTCACGATCCCTTTGGGGGTCGAACAATGCTTTCACCGGGGTCACCCAATTCATAACAGTAGCAAAATTACAGTTATGAAGTAGCAACGAAAATAATTTTGTGGTTGGGGGTCACCACAACAGGATGAACTATATGAAAGGGTCACGGCATTAGGAAGTTTGAGAGCCACTGTTCTAGAGAGTAAGAGGTCAACAAGACTGTATCCCTTCTTCCCTGAGCACATCCACCCAAACCTCCTTTCAGCCAATGGTTGTAGCCTCTGTTGATGGTCATGAACTGATGGCACGTTCACTATTACTGGAAAAGAAACATTCAGGGAAGGCAATATCCACTTAATCAATATTTACTGGGGACCGAGGACAGGGGGTGGGGACTCCAGCAGTGGCTGGGAATTGTGATCTGAGGTCTGGTACTGGCTGGGACCTGGGGACTGAGCGAGGCAGAGAGACAGGGACTGTGTTCGCAGTTGTTCTCCCCCAACTATGATCTTCAAACGAAAATGTGTGATTTCATTGGGTGATAATCCTTTCCTCCTCTTTTCCGGATCAGGCTGTGCCTTTTTCTCTGCTGATAACTGGTGGAACTCTACACTGACCTATCTACTGACAACAGAGAGGACCCTGTGGCAGTTACATAATATATTATCAACTAGAGTGAAGGAGTGGAGTCTAGCCTTTCAATC